GGAAATAGGGGCCACGAAGTGCGAACCAGGTGAGCTCCCTCCCCGCCTTTTTTTTTTTTTTTTTTTTTTTCCCCGGACATCTTGTCCCTGCGAACACATTCCGGACAATCCGGTGTCCGGTGACGTCCGGAACACCGGACAGTCCGGACTGGTCCAGACACAGGTCCGGGAAACAGTCCGGAAGTGTCTGGTGTCCGGGTCTGCGGTTACCATGCTCAAAACACAGAGAATTGAAAAACGAATTTCAATTCTACAATCCCTTGCACTCCTCCAATCAATCCAGAGAACTTGTTCCAAGAATCACAACCGCGTTACAACAACCTCGAACAACCAGAAACAAGTGTTCAACGAAATATACAGGAGTCTTCTTCTTCCTCCTCGCCACCTCATATCCCAGGCTATGGCTGCCGTAGCAGCAGTAACCCCGCAACTGTCACAACGTGCCAATCTGAACCAGCAACCCTGATGATAACAGCGCCAGCTCAGCACCCGCACGGATGTGGAGCACTGGAAGTCCTGATGAAGAAGGAGACAACAGTCCCGACACTTCGAAGAAGATGGAGTTCCACGTGAGGAGGAACAGCAGATATGGCTGGCACGTGGAAAGTGGCCGCGCCCAAACCCAACAACACAGTACTGTGAAAGCTCTCATGCAAAGCTGCGAAACAGCAGCAGTGCAGTCTTCAACGTCCTTTCCCAACCCCAGCTATGGCTGGGCTTCGAAGAAGAAGATGACCTCGCCCAAAATAGCGCAGCAGCGCTCAAGCAACGGACGGGCAGAGTTTCCCCAGTCAACGAAAAAGCAAAAGACCCGCACTCGTTTTCCTGCCCGCTACTTCTAGGCTCCGTCTAGATCTATGACGGCATCCCCCAAAGCAACAACCCGAAGACCTATCTGTATCTAGATGGAAACAGGGGAAAAGGGACCTAGACCTATGACAAGGCAAAAGAAAAAGGCCGAATGACCTAGAACTACCAAACAGAGACTACTAGTGGCAGACACACGGATCAAGCCCCATAGGGCACAACACTCACAAGCAAAAAACACAGGTTACAGGTCACGGGATCAAATCCCGCAAGGTTCAGAACACACGAACAACAAACAAACAGGCAATACAACAGACGAGGTTGCGGGATCAAATCCCGGCAACAACGACAGGGACAAAATTAGTATACAGCCCGCTTGTAGCACTGCAATTCATTGCAGAAGTATACAAACCGTGGCTGCCACATACCTTGCAAGCAGATTTACAGTTGTTGCTTCATCAAGAACATCCTTCAAGTCCGACAGGAAATCACGGAATGCAGCAACAGTCCTGGCATATTCCCCATTGGTTGGCTTGTTCAGCTGCGCGCCTTCCCCAGCCACCTTCAGCGTTCCTTCCCTCCCATGCTCTTTGAGAGATAAACGATTGATCTGTACAGCCAATTGTGGTGATACCCTCCCCAAGCCCCACATACATGACCCCAACCAGCAGCCCCTGAAATTAAAATAAAAAGAAAGGCACTATAGGCTATGCCGCTATAGCCAGTGTTGCACACGCCGACTGTCGGCGACCCTTGACTGGTCGGCTGCCAACCCGCCGACCGGCCGGCACCTACCGGTCGGGGG